TTCAAAATTTTTAACTAAAATAACTAAATTAGTTATTTTAGTTAAAAATTTAACTAAAATAACTAATTTAAAAAACTAAATTAGTTATTTTAGTTACAAATTTTGAAAGAAAAAAATCTCAAATTTGATTTAATAATACGATAAAAACATTTCTTAAAAACTCTTTTTTTTAAAAAAAACAGAATAAAACTTTACCAATGTTTAATAAACAAAACAGAAAGCGCCAACACTCGAAAAGACTAAAAGTAAGTAAAACTTATTTCTTTTTTTTTCAGAATCCTAACCAATAATGAGAGATGACTAGAAAAGAACTCTGCGATGTTTTGAAAAAATGCCCTACAAAAAAAATTGAAGATCACCTCAAAATTATTACAATATGTACTGAAAATGAAAAATGTTCACTAAAAAACGCATTAAAAACATTCAAGTTTTATTTTAAACAAAAATGGATACCTGCTAACAACGTAAAAGAAGCACTTTTTGAAGGAAAATGAAGTATTTCTCAACGCCATCATAAGTCTACCCACCTGTATAATAAAAAGACCTGGTCGCATAACACCACAAAAGATTTTAAGGTGCTGAGTTCACCAAGCAAGAGACGTAGAACAAAAGCTTTAAGAGAGCAAATATCTTTTAAATAACTAACCTATGCTGCCCAAATGAGTCAGCGTGATGCAGGATATTGTTATGCGTCTAGAATAATGAAAGATATTAGCTGTTCACCGGAAAAGGCAAAAAAAGAGGAAAATTTAATTTAATTCAGACTAATGTTATAAAAAATCACTCACCATTAGCATTATTGATTTTTGTAGATTTTTTCAAAAGCAAATAACATAGATAAAAATTTTTGAACAAAAATATTTATCTATGTTATTCGCTTTTGAAAGAATAAAAAAAAAAAATAATGTTATCCGCCACGAGAGTCAATAACAGTTTCAGAAGCGTGTTGTGGAATTAAACTACAAAATATTCTAGATCACACATCTAGATGCTTGTGTGAATATTTAGATGAAGTTTTAGAAACCTTAAATGAAGAAGAAAGATGCAATTTAGAGATGCTATCAAAATGGGGTTGTGATGAATCACAGCAGCAAATATTTAAATAAAAGTTCCAAAATAGTTCTGATAGTAACTCTAACATCTTTCAAAGTTCATTTGTGTCTTGCTTATACGCCGTATTTGTACCTCGCTTATACGCCATATTTGTGGCCAGGAGGTTATTTGGCAAAACCCAGTGCCCTCACCTAGAAGATACTGTTGTCTAATACGAATTCGTTTTATCCATGAAAAGATATAACAAATGAAGAAATTTATGTAGAAATCAAATAAAAAACTTAAGAAAAACTGAAACATCGAAATTTTTTGGTGGTATTATACATATAAAGCATACCTTGGCATTTACAATGTTACAAAGGTATGCAATGCGTAACCAACACGGCATCTACTATGAGGTGCTATATATGTGAAATTACGTCGAGAGGCTTTAATAATTTAAGTATAAATAACATAGAAAATCCAGATATCCAGATAAATTTTAGTTTATCGATATAAAGAATTTGATTCAAGGATTTGATTTTTGGAATCTTTACTGCATTTTACTTACATTTATCGAGAACACAAAATGATAAAATAATTGTGGCGGAAACAAAAAAACATACAAAAAATATTCATAGAGAAAATGAGGCTGCTGGTGAATATTTCAAAAGTAGGTTTCGGGAATACTAATGATGGAAATACATTTAGAAGATTTTTCTCAGATCCTCAAAACTTATCCTGCATCACAGGAATCGATATAAGACTTTTTAAATATTGTAGTATCATTATGAAAACCTAGTCAAGTGGATATACAATAGAAGCCAAAAAATTTGAAAAGTTTGCAGAACTGACAGCAGAACTTTATATTGAAATTTATGGTGCTACCCAATAACTACAATACATAAGATATTTAGACATGGTGTCACAATAATTGACCAATATATATTGCCTATTGGTCAATTATCGGAAGAAGTGGCTGAGGCTCGAAACAAGCACTTTCATGATTAAAAACAGAATTTCTCAAGAAAGTTTTCAAAAGAAATTTGCCACAGGGATATCCTAAACAGATTTCTGTTAAGCTCCGACCCTTTGCTGAGCAGTGCCAGAATAAGGTTTAGGAATAAAAAAATTATGGGTTCAAAAGGGCAAATATATTGGGGTATTTTTGAAAAATCTTGCAATGTTTTTCTTGCAGCTTAAATTTTTTGGTTAAAATTTTTCCACCAATTGAGTTCCTATTAAGTTTTTGAGAGTTAAATCAAGATTTCTTTTTTTATTATTTATTGTTTTCATAAAAAAAATTTAAATAGTTTGAAAAAGTTATTTTAATTAGCAGCTTACACTATAAATTATATTTTATTAGTCTCACAATCTGTACTAAATTTAAAAAGCCATATACTTACAGCAAAAATGTTGTTAAACGTGCAGTTAAACACTGAGCTGTCTAACATAGGCATAAGAAAACTTGTTTCAACTCTCAAAAAAGAAACAGGAACTCAGTTGGTATTAAAAAATTTCAACCAAAAATTTAGGCTGCCAGAAAAACATTGAAAGATTTCTTTCAGCATTCAGTTGTCAACTTTGCAAGTACAGAAGGAGAAACTAAAGAACAAAAACATAAACTTGGAAGATTTAACTAACAAGGTTTTGCTGGATAGAGAATACAGCTAAAAACATTTTTTCTGACTTGGAATTGATGGTGGAGGATCATTTTTGAAAATCAACTTGGTTGTTATAATGGTCAGTGACAAGAGTAACGAAACAAGTAGTTCTCAACAACAAAAACATCACTTGCTGAGAGATTCAATTGGTTGTAACACAGGTGTTAAACGTTAGCTCATTGCTGCCATTGTTAAAAATCTACCTGAAACATACGAGAATGTCAAAGCGTTGATAAATATTATTCAAGTAAATAGAGTAGCATTTTACATTTCATGTTAATTAAAAATGGCCTATTTTATTTGTGGAATTCAATCCCTTTTAAACAAGCATCATTGCTGCTGATGCGTTGTTAATTCCGACAATCTATGAGAATGCGGATTTCTAAAATTTTTTGGCACATTGAAGAAAAGATAAGTTGACTTTGTTGCTAAAAGCTCAGATTCAAACTTTGCAAAAAATTTTGCAAATGTAATCCAATTACGATTGGTCAATATGGACAACTCAGTGCTTATTTTAGATGTTATTCCGCCAATGAAATTCCATTTTCTTCTTAGAGTTGATCATCTTATCAAAAATCTTTTTGACTTGTGGCCTGTAACCAAAGAATGGACAGCTAAATTATACACAGCTCCAGCCTACCATGTTGGACACTACATAGGCAATTATTGCTATATGCTTTTAAAAACACTAAAGGAAAGTTTAGGACTGAAATTCAGAAATTCAAAACATTTTTCCTACTTTTGTCAATACAATTCACACCAAAAGTCCATGCTGTCTTCTACCACGTTGAAGAATTTGTGTTAAAACATCAATCTTTGCTCGAAAATTTTAGTAAACAAGCAACTGAAACATTGCAATCAAAATTCAATTCTAATTCGGAAAGATAAAAGCATTGCTTCGATCATTCAGAACATGGAAAATATCTTTTTAACTGTGTTGACTATATTAGCAAGCATTTGTAACAAAGAAAAGGAAAATTATCATATGAAAGTATATATTGCATATAATAAAAATTAGAATAAAAATTACAACTATTAACTTAAATCTGTAAAAAATTTTATTTCTTGTCTCTAATATTTCACACCTACTTTTGATAAGATGTTTTGTTTCAACGTACTTTTGATAAGATGTTTTGTTTCAACGTACTTTTGATAAGATGTTTTGTTTCACTGTACTTTTGATAAGATGTTTTGTTTCAATGTACTTTTGATAAGATGTTTTGTTTCAACGTACTTTTGATAAGATGTTTTGTTTCAACCAAGGGTGTGGAGTCGTAAAAAAAAAATAACGACTCCGACTCCAGTAGTTGAAATTTTTTGAGTACAACTCCGACTCCAACTTCAAAGCAAAATTTCTGAAAAACTCTTTGAATTCTTTAAAAAATATTACGCAATAACTTAAAAAATTATTTTTTAACAAATTTATGAAATGTTCTTTGAGGTTTAGTATGAACATAAGGTTAATTGAATGTTTTTTACATGCACGTGCAATACCAAGAAGTTTTACTATTGGAGTCGGAATCGCGATTTTGTTTAGCGACTCCGACTCCGCTGAAAATGTCGCTGAAAATGAAACTCTGACTCCGCAGCCCTGGTTTCAACGCACTTTAGATAAGATGTTTTGTTTCAACGTATTTTAGATAAGATGTTTTGTTTCAACGTACTTCAGATAAGATGTTTTGTTTCACCGTACTTTTGATAAGATATTTTGTTTTAACTTGATAAGATGTTTTGTTTCAATTTTAGATAAGATACTTGGGAACTTTTTAGTTTCGAAAAAGTTAAATTTGGATTTTAAACATTAAGTTTAAGATTGAGTCTTATACTTTTAATGTTTAAAATAATAAATTTTTGCAACAACAATTTTTAGCATTTTTACAGAAATACCTCATTAAATTTGCTTTCTTGAACTCAGTCTATGAAAATATTATTAAAAAAAAAAAAAAAAAAAAACAGAAAGTAAATTAATATGAGCAGCCGTGGCGCAGTGGTGGCGGTGGCGCAGTGGTGGCGGTGGCGCAGTGGTTGACCTCTGAGTTCTGGCTAAGAACTCAGAGGTCCAAGGTTTGACGCCAGCTCAAACCTAACAAGCGACATTGGTACAGAAGAACGCATATTTAAAATAAAGTTTTCGGTTTTTGAAGAAAAACGGTTTTAGTGTATTTTTATTTGAAAATTTTAGGAAACATTCTGAAACCCTAAAATTGATTGGGAATATTTAAGAAACAAACCAACTAAATATAACAGCAAACTCAATAAAAACTTTTTTTCTTATGAAAAAATGAAAAGAAAAGCAAAACACACTGCATACTGGGTAACAACAAATAAAAAGATAACACTTGTTTTACATATTTACATATTTAAAAAATATTATTTAACCAAAGAAAATGTTTCACAAACGTTGTTTTTCTTCCTCACGCTTTTAAATAAACTTTTTTTTAAAACAAGAACAAATAAAATTATGTTTGGTACGTTTGCATTGTAAAAAACATAATACATCAAATGAAAGTTAAAAGTAAATTTTTTCATTGTTATTTCAATTTTTAAGAATTTTTCCTTTTTTCGTGTTTCTTATTTCAAATTTTATGATCAAAACAAGTTCGATGAAAAAATATTCTCCAGATAACAGAGAAGTTGCCATATCAACACACCATAAAACTGGTCAAATCAATGCTTCCAAATTTATCGAAGACTCTCATTGATTAATGGGTCCGCTCCGTCTCTAATCAACTGAATTAAAATACGTGCTATATTGCGCGCATCATCAATTCCACGATGGGGACGTCCTTCGAACTCCATTCCTAAATGCTGAAGCATTAATTCTACGTTTGCCTGATTTATCTTATAGTAATTATAAAAATGCTTTCTGATATTGACCCATCGGTGGAAATAATGCGGAATTTGAATATTAAGAGTCTTGCATTGATTTTTAAGAAAACGGTCTAAGTCCCATGGCCTAAAAAAAATCAGGACTAATCAACATAATATAGCTATATATATATATATATATATATATATATATATATATATATATATATATATATATATATATATATATATATATATATATATATACACACACACACACACACATATATATATATATATATTCATCGATCACTCTCCTGAAGATATATATATATATATATTCATCGATCACTCTCCTGAAGATATATATATATATATATATATATATATATATATATATATATATATATATATATATATATATATATATATATATATATATATATATTAGGGTGGTTCAGAAATACAAATTTAGTTTAGAATAACATTAGCATTAAACTTGGTAACTTATTTCCCTCACATTTTGGGCTGGGGGCACAAATTTTGGGTTTTGGTAGTTCGTAGGCTCCAATCACTGAGATTTTCTCAATCACCAAATAAAGCTTTGATACTACTGCTTCCATCATTAGAAAGCCAAGGAGATATATTACGAAAATGGCGTATAAGCTGGAGCGGCCACTACTTCTTCTTGGTTGTAGACGCCATATTTTGGAAAGACATATTACCCACTTTAATATGATACATCCAGGTAGTAAAACGTCTGGTCCAGAGAACCAGCTCTTTAAACACCTAAAATCTGTCAGGAATGATCTTGAAAAAGACACAGTTCCATTAATAAGGATCTCAAACAGAAACTTGGATAAATAAACATCTTGAGGCTAAACATTTCTACAGAGATGTAACAGATAATAGGTTTCTGGTCTATTGCATTATGCAAGATGCATACAAAAGTGTTTCATTACCGTAAAACCTTAAAATGTATTTACTATTGGAAACCATTCCAAATTTATCAGAAGAAAATATAGAAGAGATTCGTCATATTGCTATTTTTGTCGGCATCTTTACACTCAGTGGTTTCTTAGAACAGTATCGCCAACTGCTGCCCCATATCAGTGTTTTTTTTTTTGTTTAACATTTTCGCTTCCAACAAGGTTGCAAGCAACCACTAATTAGTGTTGAAAGTTACTGGAAGAGAGAAGATGCAGACTGTAGAGCAAGATGATGATTGACAGACGACTTAAAAGATTGCAAATTATATGAATCAGGAAAGCAAGATGAAGGAAGCGAATTCCAAAGAACTGATGTTTGAGGAAAGAAACTAGATGAATAAGAGTTTTTAGAGCACTTAGGAACAGTAACGGAAAAAGGATGAAACTTAATTGAATCACGAGTAACACGAGAGTAAATTTTAGTAGATGGCACAAGAGACGCTAGCTCTTTAGAGCAGTGCCCATTATAGTATTTGTAGAAAAGAGAAAGAGAAGCAACATTACAACGATGTGACAGAGGTTGAAGGTTGGCTGCAAGAGCAGGTCCAACTATGTTTACAATGCGTTTTTGCACCTTGTCTAAAAGAGAAAGGGCATCATTAGAAGATCCACCCCAGATATGGCAACAGTATTCCATAACAAGACCGGAGTTGAGATTTATAGAGATGGAGAATAGAATCCTGAGTATGAAAGTGTCAAGCTCGATAAAGAGATGCAACTTTATCAGATGCTAATTTTGAAACAGAATTGATATAAGGTTTCCAAGAAAGATCAGAAGTAAGAGTTAATCCTAGAAGATGAAGGGTAGATGACTCATTGAGTACATTACTGTTCATAAATAAAGAAAGGTCTAAATTATTGCGATAACGATTGGCTGAAAAAAATTGAGTTTTATCTGATTTAAAGTTCACCAGCCACTGTGAGCCCCATGCTGGAGCAGAAGAGAAATCCTTTTCAGGCTCAAATGCCCCCTTCAAACAATCAGAGGGAGTTGGCTTCTTATCGTGACAAGAATAAATGGTAGTATCATCGGCGAACAATGCCACCTTAGATGTGAGAATATCTGGAAGATCGCTAATGTAAATTAAAAAGAGTACAGGTCCAAGGATTGAACCTTGAGGAATCCCTGAGGTTATAGAATAAGAAGAAGAGTGCTGTTCGTCAAGGACAACTTTTATACTACAATTGGAAAGAAAGGATTCAATAATCTTAAAGATGTTTCCAGATACACCATAAGTTGATAGCTTATGGAGAAGACCAGCATGCCAAACTTTATCAAACGCTTTAGAAATGTCAAGAGCGATGGCCTTAACCTCTCCACCTTTATCTAATGCACAATAAAACCTATTAGTTATTACTTTTAGCAAATTAGCCATAGAACGAGAAGATCGAAATCCATATTGATGATCAGAAAGTAAGTTATTAGATTCAAGATAAGAGATTAAAAGTTTGTTAATAAAAGATTCAAAAACCTTGCTTATGATAGGAAGAAGACTAATGGGACTGAATGAATCGGATTGCTCTCCAGAATTTTTAAAAATAGGGATAACAGATGCTGCTTTCCAGCAGGCTGGAAAACAAGACTCTGATAAGCACTTGTTGAATAGTATTGAAAGGATAGATGACAGCTCCGGAGAACACTTCTGCAAGACTATAACAGGTATGTTGTCCGGGCCGCAAGCTGTAGAAGAGTCTAAGCAGGAAATCACTTTAGATATAGAAGCTGGAGTATATCAGGTAGAACGCAACTAGTGGAATCAAGAGATGATATTGATGAAAAGTTCTGTAATAGCAAACAATTCAGCCTTGTCTTTAGGTGAGGTGACAAAGTCTGAACCATACAAAAGAGGTGGAATTACAGACCTGGCCTTACTATTGATACTATTAAAGATTCTCCAGAAGTCACAAGAGCCTAACTTATAAATATAAATAAGAAAAAAGAGTAAAAATTATTTAGTTAATTGTTTGATTGATGACTTAATCTAATATTGTTAAAATATTGCATAGGATATGAAAGCTCTGTTACAGACGATAAGATTCATGGATATAAATTTTCTTGGAGCTATTTCAGTATTAAAATCATTTGACAGACACAGCTGGTACCTTGATCCTGTCTTAGTTGTGCTTTAGCAGATAAACGTTGCCAAAACAGAGAAGATAATGCCAAAGCATTGATTAATACACTTCTCTCCAAACCAAACGTGTCTCCACTTGAACATGTTATGGTCTATAAAGAGCTTTTTCACTCTCTAGACTTTGCACAAGATCAGCCTCCTTCTTTTTGCTCTCTAGTAATTTAGCAATCTTGGCTCATCTTTGATAAGATTGGACATGGAAAGAGTGGTTTGCAGTGGCTTAAGTTCCCTTCACAGTTCTGGATGTCTAACAATTTTTATCTTGAGTTTGAATCTACTATTAAATCCTATGATGTTGTCAATGACTTATCTGAGAGGGCCATTAATCTAGTTAAAGAACTGATTGGAAAATCAAACAAAGAAAAAAAGAGACATTATTCTTGCTTAACTATGTTTACAAAAAAAATAAACAAGGGGCAAAGAAAAAAGATTTAGCATGGAATGTAACAAAAAATATTTTAAATATTGAATATTAATAATTTGAAGTCTAATATGGAATTGTAATTATTTTTATTTATTCCCCCTCCTCCTCCTGCAGCTTGAAAAAAAGGTATTAGTATATTAATAGGCGAGGGCTAATCCACCTTCCTCTAGATTCATCTCTAAGTTTAATATTAAAAAATAATATAATATATTATAATAGCTTATTTATAATTCCATTTAACTGGCTAGATTTTATAATGAAAAATACCATAGAAATACAGGGGTCTCGGAAGCTTTTTTTGGTGATTAAGATAGATAACTTTCAGACATGGAGCAATTTTTAATTTTGGGTATGTTTATACTTATATTAAATGAGAATACTTTGAACTACTATCTACCAACACTCATTCTTACCTGACTTGTCATTCACAACCCTCGGAATTCGGAAAAACAAGGTCGGCAATAATTTGCTAACCTCAATCTTTAAGAGGATGGCATTAGGTCGGCAAAAGAAATTTAATACAAAGGTCTCACCATAAAACATAGAAACGAGGTCAACAATTATTTGCTGACCTCAAACACTTTTGCCAAATGCCGACCCTATTTCCGCGGGTTGCATTCAGCAACCCTTGGAACTAGGGTCTTATCCTTTACTGCATCTCTCTCTTTATGCTCTAAAAATGTTTAAACATCTAGTTTTTTTGCCCGCACTATAATGCTTTGGAGTTCTCTCCTATCTTTATGTTTTCCTGACTCATACAACCTTCAACTTTTAAAGTTTTTAGTCAATCATTTCCTTCTCTTTAACACTATTCATTATTTTTTAATAACTCCCAACTTATTACTTCTTAAAACTTTTTTAAATTAATGCTTTGATAGAATTTTTATTACTGCTCTATAATAAATTATAAACCTCAAGCATATATAAAATAAAAACAAAAAATTATTTTGATTTTAATAGTTTAATTGTTGTAATGATTTTTTTATTATTATAAAAACTTTATTATTATAAAAAATATAAAATATCATTGTGAGCTTATTTTTATAAGGTATATTTTCTATTATTAACTATAATATATTAACACTATATATTATTATGTTAAAATTAACATAGAAATATATATATATATATATATATATATATATATATATATATATATATATATATATATATATATATATATATGAACAACATATTTTGATTTAAATAAAACTCATGAAATTTATAAATAATAAATTATCCCTTACCCGTCAGTAGCAATGCAAAATGTTTCTGTCGGCATAACCTGTTGTTTTAACCATTTATCAAATCTCTGAAGAACAACTTCAAAAACTGAGGAAGATTCTACCTGAACCTATGTGCATTAAAATTAAAAACAACATTACAAAAGATGCACATATGAACAATAAACATTAAAAACAACATTACAAAAGATGCACATATGAACAATAACCATTAAAAACGACATTACAAAAGATGCACATATGAACAATACTCTTTAAAAATAGTGTTGTTATAACTTCAAAATAATTTGACAGTCAACTAAATTGATGTTAAGTTTTTAAAAGTCAACTTAAAGTCGATATAGTTGAAATATTTGAATAGAAAATTATTAATATATTAATAAGTTTTTTTATTAATATATTAATAAATAATTTATCATAATCATATACATAATCATATAATGTTGCTTGACTAATTATTTTTTAGATGCTATAAAAAATAAATCGAACTTTAAAAGAGTCAACAAAAGTATGTAATACTTTTATAATAATTCTGTTGTTATAGCAATAGTACTTTTTTTGTTTCATTTTAATTCATCTATATAAATGAATAAACCAAGATGAATTAAAAAAGAAACAAAAAAATAACAAAAAACAGAAACATAAAAGAAAAAAAAATGTGCAGCTAAATCCGGTTTAAGTCTTTTTGCTGTTCTGTAGTAGTGGCGCCACTTGAAATTTTTGGAAGTTGCTGATAAAACAGTACACTAAAGTATCTTTGCCCTCTTTAAAAAAACGGGATGATAGGCATAAATTATTTTTATAAAATACAAGAAAACATATTTTTTTCAATATTTTTTTATTCTTATTTGAATAACAGACAATTTCTTGTCTACTGATAATGAATCTTCTGATGACACTGTTTTCATCAAAATCAGAGTCATCAGAACATCACCCAAGAGCTAGACTTGCTGGTTAGATTTTTTAATACCAGCAATTTTTGCTGTTTTACTTGATATAAACTTAAAATTACAAATTTGAGAATGTAAATATGTACAGCTTTTAAACTTTGAAAAAATTTTCATATTTTTGATTACAATTATCTTTAAATTTGATTTTTAATTGTATGATTATTAGATTTTTAAAGTTAACAAAATAACTAACAAAATAACCAACTAATTTATAAGCAGCTGATAATATAACTTAACAAGCAATATATTGTAATCAAAATTTTGTAACCATTGGCTCTAATAAATTAATTAGCTAGCCAATGATTTCCAGTTCCAAGCTTATAACAATTCTTTTTAATTCTCTAGCTTGATTATGTTTTTCATCGAAAAGCTTAAAAAGTGACTGTAACATTAAAATTGGTGTACAATTTATTCCTTCTAGACTTCTTCTATTTATTCCTTCTACAATTTTAATCATTTAAGACTTCTTCTATTTATTCCTTCTACAATTTTATTCCTTCTAGAATCTTCTAGACAATAACAATGATATTGGCAGCAGTGCCACTACTCTAACACTTATATTCAATCTAAGCTAATATGAGCTTTTATGCTTTAATACAATGATCGATTTCAAACAAATATTTTTGAACATAATTACATTTTTTTTATATCACAGTCAACTTTTACATATTACGAGTCCTGTCAGTTTTTTAAACAGAGTTTATTTGCACATGGCTTTTTATAATGTTCTTTTACAATTAAAACCTCATGGTAGGGTTCTTCAAAGTAAGTTGCATTTCATTTTTTAACAATTTTTGTTTTGCTATGTTTGTATTATAAAAACACCAATAACAATGACAGCAACATCAGTAACAGAATCAACAACAGCAACACATAAATTGATTTGTAATGTTTGTTATATATGATGTCTTTTTTTTCTTTTATCATTTAATTTAATTTTTTTATTTTAGATTTATCTTGCAAAGCTTTTTTCAGCATATTGCAAAACAAATAGAAAGCCTGGATTTTATAAGGCACATAGGGTGTGGGTCCAAATTTGGGGCAAAGACTCCCCTTCTTTTTTTATTAGGAGAGTGGCCCCCCTTAGAAAGAAAAATACGTGGGGAGGGATTGGTGGAAAAACATTGCGCTATATCTATAATTACTACTTTTTTAGTTTTTTAATCTACTGTAGTTGAAAGTTTTTTTTAAAATTTTTTATTTTATATTTTTGTTTTGTTATTTACAGCGCTGGAAATAGCAGCCAACCAATGATCAATGACTGTTTACTTTTGAAAAAAATGATGTTTTAATCTCCTAATATCAATTCTGGCTGATCAAATTTATCAACATGAATTGCAAGGCAATTTGAATAATGAAAAATTTATCTATCTTTAAAACGATAAGCTGAAATTATAAAGTTAGAAGCTAAATGTTTTTGATTATTGTTATAAATTAAAATTAAAATTATAAATTAAAATTATTCTAATAGTTTTTATACTATACCTTTAGTTTATAGTAAAAAAAAAGCGCAAAAATGTTATTGAATAAGTAATTATACAGAATAAAAAAATACAGAATATTTTTGATTGGCGGAATAAACATAGTTTGAGATCATAATTTTTTTTTAGTTATAAAAGAGGAAAAAAAACTCAGTTATAAAAGTCAGAAAAAAAATTCAGTTGTAAAAGTCAGTAAAAAAAATTCAATTATTTAATTAAATGTTAAAGAAATTCAATAAATTAACAACTAGAAATATTAATATTTGTTCTTAAGTCCAAATAATAAAATACAGTGATCATAAGGATTAAAGCGAAATAACTGTTTGCATTTGTAAAACAATCTCATAGTTTTTGTATTAAGTGTCAAAACTGATTAAGAAAAAAAACTTTCAACTTTTTACTGTTAGATTATTATATTATTATCTTTTTTGTTATTTTGATTCAACAAATGATAGTTTTTAAACAAAAATGATATTTTCATTGATTATTTTTTTTAAATTTATATATATATATATATATATATATATATATATATATATATATATATATATATATATATATATATATATATATGTATATATATATATATATATATATATATATGCATATATATATGCATATATATATATATATGCATATATATATAAATATGTATATATATATATATATATATATATATATATATATTTATATATATATATAAATATATATACATATATATATATATATATTTATATATATATATATATATATATATATATATATATATATATATATATATATATATATATATATATATATATATATAGTAATTGTAAAAAATAAAAATTTGTTTTGTTAGATGATATTTTGTTTTGAAAAAATAATTTTTGTTATTTTTTGTAATTAAGAATTTGTATTGTCTTGTTTGTGAATAAATTTTGTTAAAAAGATATATTTTGTTCCTTTTTCTTAACAATTGATGTATTGCCATTTGTAAATAAATATAAATACTTATACACATACATACATTAATACAAATATATACATTTTTATTTTGCAATTTATTATTTTGGTAAAAGCTTATCTTGATTCAAAATCTTGATTATTTTTAATTAAAATATTATATCTCACCTCCCAATTAAACATAAGAGTGAGGAAATTTTAATGAGAAGGGTCTAAATTTTATGAATAAAAATTTCAAAAAAACACCAGGAGAAGTGTCAGGCCAATGTCATCTGTGTTAGAGATACTTGTTTTTAATGTGCTTACATAATCAATAGGTAAATCTGCGCATCTAATATATTAAAGAGACAATAATCTTTCCTATTGCAGGAAGATGTTACATTCAGAATTTTTTATTCAAAAAAAAATAAATGGGGTGAGGTTTCTAATAACTTCTAAGTGCGCGGAAAAGAGAGAGAATATATATACATACACACACACACACACACACACACATTCTCCCCACAATTAATTTATTATTAATTAAAATTTTTTTTAGTGTTTACTAAAAAACATTGAATTTAAGAGACACTATAAAGAATAAGTATAGAAATAGAGGATGTGCAGCAAACTTATTATGACCTATATTTTATGGGTCTGGATAGCTAGTTATTATTAATAGTCCAGGATAAATTATAACAATCTTGATAATGCATTAAAGAGGTTAAACCAACTGTTAAGTTAAGCTTTCACTTTAAATTCTTCCTTAAACATAATTTCATAATGCTTTGACTTTTATAAGTACAAAAAAATAGAGAAAAATGTCTGTTGGGAGTTATATAAAAATACTTATAGAATTTCAATTAAACTTATGCAGAGAGAATTTTAAAAATGTTAATTTTTCACAACAATTAAAGCAAAAATTACCAAAAGCATTAGCAGGAAAGCCATAAATTTAATCAACTATTTGGTTTTTCAAATTTCACTAATTTCCACTTTCAACTAATCAAGTCAATTTAGTCTCCACTTTTTACTAATCAATTCAATAACATATCTTAAATTTAAAAAGTCAACACTAATTAAAAATTTTATTTCAAAAGTTAACATTTTATTAAATTTATAAAATATTTGTATATTTATAAATGGTTACCTGCGTAATTCCAGTCAAAGATTTACAAAATTCAGATAGTACAGGATTGATAACAGGGCGACAATAAGAATGAAACTCAGATACCTAATAAATAATATTTAAAATTTATACATTTTCATGTTAAATTTCTATGATTACACACTTATGTGATTTGGACAGGTTTCCATAATGCTTTTTCTTATTTATATAAGGATGCCCTTCCTGGCATTAACTTATTTTACTGATAAGGACTAGGTATTGAATGACTATATACTGCAATACTTATAAGGTATATACTGATAAGGACTAGGTACTAGGTACTGCAATACTTAAAAAACTTAGATTTTAGATTTAAAAGCTTTTACTAACCATACCTGCCATTAAATTATTTATCCAAGTTTTCCTTCTTCTGATAAATTGCTTTAGCTAAGGAAACTCACCTGCTTCAAATAAATATATATATCAGGCTTGATTGATACATAGATTACGACCATGCAATTTATGTACACATTAGGCAATTTTATGTATGCCTAAAGTAATTTCAATTAGGCAACTTTTTATTACTTTTATCATTTAAATTAGTCAAAAGATTATAAGTAGTAAGGTAAAAGTAATATAAAAATCATGTTTGAATAACAATTGTAATATAAAAATCATGTTTGAATAACAATTATGTAAAAAAAGTAATATAATAAAAAGTAATAAAATGTTTGAAAGAAAATTACATTAAGCACTATTCACAAACAAAATATATTGAGATAACAATATTATAAATAATATTATGCTAATAAACATCATTTATAATATATTTAACTTTATATTATTAGTAATGTAATTTTTTTATTATTATTATTTTTTAATATTATGAAATGTTTACTATATATTTTTTAAAATTAAATAGGTTAATTTAGTATTACATATTTTAATATTACAATTTTTTCATTTTATGAAGTACAAAGTGGTACTCCTAAAAAATTTTAAATCTGCTCAATTTCAGAAATAAAATTGCTGCCACACTAGTACAAGCCCATTTGACCACACCAAACACTTGCTGCTATTTTGTAAAATTATTAAATTTTATACATAAAAAAAAAGAAATAAGGAAGCAATATTAAAAACTGATAAAAAAACAACATAAATGTCATTTTATATTTAAAAAAAAAAAAAGTAACTATTAAAAACTTTTTATTATATTGTATGATAAATGTAATAATAAGATGCCTTTATCTATCTTTTAAATTTTTATTGTTTATTATTACTATTAGTGTTTGTCATTATTTGTTTATTATAGTAAGATATGATGAAAATTATTGAATTATGTTCAAGACTGGCGCAATGGTGTTTTTGTGTGACCCCCCCCCCCCATCAATGATTTTTTCTTTCATTTAGTCTGCAAATTTGACCCTTTTTGATTAGTTAGTTGGCAAATGTAGACTCTTTTGACAAGTAAGCCAGTAAACTTAGACAGTCAGTTAGCAAATGTTGTTATGGCAGTCAGCAAATTTAAAAAAAGGAGGACCTTTTTTTTTTTTTAGTCGGCAAAAGTTGTAATGGCACCTCCCCCCCCCCCCCCCCCCCACGTGATACCTACTTGTGCCAGCCCTGATTATGTTGTTCTTACATTATACTGTTTATTTGATAATTGTGTATTTTTATAAATATAGGCTTTTTTAATCATAAATTTTTTTTAAACACATTTAAGCGATGAAAAAGATTACAACAGTGCATTCCTAACAACTAATGCTGATCCTTTTTATCAGGTTTTTCAAAAAATTTGTGAACAACTAATGTTAATCCTTTTTATCGAGTTTTTCAAAAAATTTGTGAACAACTAATGTTAATCCTTTTTATCAGGTTTTTCAAAAAATTTGTGAACAACTAATGTTAATCCTTTTTATCAGGTTTTTCAAAAAATTTGTGAACAACTAATGCTAATCCTTTTTATCAGGTTTTTCAAAAAATTTGTGAACAACTAATGCTAATCCTTTTTATCAGGTTTTTCAAAAAATTTGTGAACAACTAATGTTAATCCTTTTTATCAGGTTTTTCAAAAAATTTGTGAACAACTAATGCTAATCCTTTTTATCAGGTTTTTCAAAAAATTTGTGAACAACTAATGTTAATCCTTTTTATCAGGTTTTTTAAAAAATTTGTGAACAACTAATGCTAATCCTTTTTATCAGGTTTTTCAAAAAATTTGTGAACAACTAGTGTTAATCCTTTTTATCAGGTTTTTCAAAAAATTTGTGAACAACTAATGTTAATCCTTTTTATCAGGTTTTTCAAAAAATTTGTGAACAACTAATGCTAATCCTTTTTATCGGGTTCTTCAAAAAATTTGTGAATCATTTATGGCCCTGGAAGATGGAGTTTAACCTAAATTAATCTACTACTTAATTCTGATTGGATCTTACAATGGCATTTTTTTTATCTTTCTGTCCATTACCCTTTTTTGTGTGTTTTTACATACTTTGCAATTTTTGCTATTGAAATATTATGGTGAATAAAACTTAAATAAATGTTTAATTATCTAAGTAAACAACAACTACATGCAGATGAAACAGACATTCCTTATAGTAGTCCAGTGATATTTGTATGTTTGAGATCAAATTGGTATTTTGTTTTGATTTTTTGTCACTACTATAGTAGACCTAAAAGATGACTAATATTTATTTATGTTCATTAAGTAAACCTAGTAAACATAGCTTTAAGTTGAAAGCAGAAATGTAGGTCTTGAGACTAAAGTCTTGGACTCAAGATATCTTAAGACTCATATTCAACTGCCTCGGTTTTGGTTTTGAAGCTTGGAGTCTTGGTCTTGAAAACCTGGAGTATTGGTCTTAGTCTTGGTAACGGACCAGTACTTGTAGTTACTTGATCCTTACAAAAAATATGAACAAATGGAACAGATTTGAAGTTAACAATAATTTGTTGATCACCTCTCTCAAGAAGATTTGTCCCTAGAAAGATGCACACTCTATTTCTTTATGCATACTAGTGTTTGATAGATTGTCAAAATATAAGTTGTGAAATCAAGCGACGCATGGTTGTCTGTTTTGCTTCGCACATAAAGTACTTAAATAGAATATGTAAACTTAAGTTAATTTTTTTTTCTTGTAACAATAGTAGTTGCAGTAGCCTAGCATGTCTTTTATTGTTATATTAGATGTGTTTTTTTTTTTTTTTTCTTCTTGTTATTCACCTCCTCAAGGCCGATAAGGCCACTACAGACGAGGAGGCTACTTATTAGTGGTTATAAGTGTGCTATTCTTAGTTTCACGGTGTGATGGTCTTGCATAACTTTTTATTAGTATATTTTGTTTTTAACAATACAAGAAATCTGTTAGTTTTTTGTTACTATTATAGATATTTATTGTAGACTGCAACAGTGCACTCCACAGTATATGATAACATAATTATATTAAACATGCAAGCAGTTCATTTTATTAAAGAGTAATGTGCATAAATAGTAAAATAAACCATCAGCTAAAGGCCTAATAGTATACATACATATGTAAAAGGCCTAATAGTATACATACATATACCTAATAGTATACATACATTATTGCGCTGAACCTAAGCCTTGATCATGGTCTTGCGAAAAAAGTTAAAATTGTTTTCAAAAAAATAGTATACATAAATATTTTACTGTTTTTATTTTCTTAGTTTTAAGGTGTTTGTTATTTTCCACTTTCAAAATTGATACTAGTTGAGGAAAAAAGTAGATAAGAATATAATGAAAAAAAAAATATTTTTTGAAATAGAATTTTTTTGCTACTTTTTTTAGTCAGTATATTAAGGAAATACTTTGTAATTTGAGCTAGAAACATGGTAGGCACAAGTAAGGAAAAAAACTGATTGCTATTTATTTCTGAAAAAAATTTTTTTTTTTTCCAACAAGTTTTTAATGTAAAAAAATAAAGTCATTCATAATAATACTTAAATTTAAGGGGTAAACAGATTCTATCTGTTGACCAGCCTCGCACCCCTTCCTCATCCATTAGGCTGGCGCAGATGTATTTTTAATACATTGTTTCCAGTTTAGGATGTTGAACGCTGGATCTTCTTGACTCAATGAGTGGGTATTGCTTGTGTCTCTATTTTTATGACTGGGCAACTCATTCTATTATCTCCTAATGAGGGTACAGCTCTAAAACTCAGTTTTATGGTTCTGAGGCCGGCTGGTAGTCAGGTTTCCCGAACTCTGTGGTAGCTCTCAGAGAGGCTGATTCCATCAACAGCCGAAAAATATCAGAGTACTAACAGTGCCATGTTGCGCATGGATGGTGTCCCTGTTTGTACTTTTGGTGTGCATTGCAGAGGCCACATTTGGAGCCCTTTGTTACGGCTTAGGGTTTATTAATAGTAATGAGGCTATTGCTTAGTTGTTAAATAGTGTACTGAGTACTATCTATACTTGAGTCAAGTTCTTTATAAATTTAAAATGACTAAAGTACCTAAAACTAAAAAACACAAAAAACCATTGTCATCACCAAGTTCTCTAAACCTATCATTTACTAATATTCGTGGTCTTCGAAGTAACTTTTCTTCTGTTGAGTCTTATCTCTTGCAAAGTTCACCAGACCTACTTGCTCTTTGTGAGACTAATTTGAGTTCAGCTGTCCCATCTTGTGATCTTAGTGTTGATGGTTATCTTCCTTTAATTCGTAAAGACTCCAATAATCACATGCTTGGCCTGGGCATCTACATTCGTAAGAACTCACCCATTTGTCGTGAAACTAGGTTTGAATCTACTGACTATTCATTTATGTGCTTTCGTTTAGCCCAACTTCACTCTATCGCCTTTCTCTTTGTTCTATATCGCTCTCCTTCATCCCAAGATTGCACTATTCTTGATGTTATTTCTGATCAAATTGACCAAGCCCTCTCTCTTTATCCATCGGCCAATATTGTCGTTGTTGGTGACTTTAATGCCCATCACACCGATTGGCTTGGCTCTAGTGTCAGTGACTCTGCTGGCGTTAAGGCTCTCAACTTTTGCCTTTCTCAATCTCTAACTCAAATAGTCAACTTTCCAACTCGTTTTCCAGACAACCCTAATCATTTACCTTCTCTACTCGACTTATGTCTTGTTTTGGATCCTA